TAACGAAACGTAACGGAACGTAACGTTGTTCGACAAACAAAAAAAAACGTAAGATGACGCAACATAATATAACGAAACGTAACGGAACGTAACGTTGTTCGACAACAACAAAAATAAAACGTAAGATGACGCAACATAACATAACGAAACGTAACGGAACGCAACGTTGTTCGACAAACAAAATACGACGTAAGATGACGCAACATAACATGACGAAACGTAACGGAACTTAACGTTGTTCGACAAACAAAATACAACGTAAGATGACGCAACATCACCTAACGAAACGTAACGGAACGTAACGTTGTTCGACAAACAAAATACGACGTAAGATGACACAACATCACCTAACGAAACGTTGTTCGACAAACAAAATACAACGTAAGATGACATAACATAACGAAACGTAACGGAACGTAACGTTGTTCGACAAACAAAATACGACGTAAGATGACGCAACATAACATAACGAAACGTTGTTTGACAGATAAGCTCCGCAAAGAGATCAACAAGGTGGTGAACAAGTACATCGATCAGGGCGTGGCCGAGCTCGTTCCCGGCGTACTGTTCATCGACGAGGTACACATGCTTGACATCGAGTGCTTCACCTACCTGCACAAGGCACTCGAGTCTGCGCTCTCCCCTATTGTCATTTTCGCAACGAATCGTGGACGATGTCTCATCAGGTAGGGACGCGCGTGTGTATGTGGTGGCCTAGGAGGGTTGACGTGTGTTGGGTTAGAGATATGAGTATGTGAGCAAGTGTAATTCATTAAATAAGTTCATTTGGTTGGTAGATAATAGATCTATCTCCTGGTTAATTTTTACTCAACCGTGTTGATTCAAAACGTACTGCTGAGGAGGCGAAACGTGCTAATCGCACCTCAATAGTTTTAAATAATTTATCATTTGTCAACAGCAAATAATAAGAAGTCAGAAAGTAGAAGAAATTTATTACATACAAGCAAGAATAAAAATACACATAGTTAGAATTGTAACAATAAACCGTAGTACTGTGAACCCATTTCTGTTAAATTGTCTGTAGCATAAAATTATACAGACTACACAGTGGCTACTGTACGATTCTATAAAATTCACGACTCTTCGCCATGCCTTGTTTATACTTAACAGATAACTGTCAAGTTTTTATTATAAATCTTGTATTGTCACTTGTTCTAAATCAATCGAGTTGACGAAAGCACGCAAAATGCTTGGCCAGGAACATAATAACGATCATATGATACGGATGAGTACGAACCCATCGAAGTCGGCCATGAACGGACAGACGCTCCATGCCAGAGACCTCCGAATGCGGCCCGCGGTCCGGTATGTGGAGCTTCCACCATCATGATCATTCGACTTTCCCTGCTGCCCGTCGCGATCACCCATCTTGCTGGATCTCTTAAGTTGCTTCGCGACCTGCGGGAGCAAACGTACGTGGACTTAACTGCTGCGTATCGCTGTCCGAAAATGATCACAATTAATACCTAATATTTCAAGTTGCAATTGACTGAATAATACGTCATCGGGTAATTGGCATGCGGCAGAAGTGCCTAAGCATCAGCCTACGTAGCAAAGTCTTTGCGGATTGCGAGCGATAATTAAATGACACTAGCTAATTACGCGGTGACAACATTTTCGCGCCAGTAATACGTCCGTTTAACAGCTGAGTAAACTCGCGTGACATTCGAAATACAAATGTCTGCTGTGTGCTCACATGAGTCGAAAACAGAATTTCTTGTCATTTACAAGCAAGATTTGCCGTGTGGGGCTTGGCTTAAATACGCTGCAATAGCTTATATATACATTGCCCATTGCATCTGTCTAGTTCACTACGGTGCTTTGAAGTCTGATTTTATAATCCGTAAAAGCGCGAACGACGTCTGTTCGCTCGCACCTTGCAGCATCCTGACAATAACAAAGGTACTCATCTGTCAGGTGGAAATTTGAAGGGAAAAGATGAAAAGGGCTAACATATGTTTATCAGGAGTTGCAATAATAGAGATTATGTCACATTAACTCTCCTTCAAGATTCACTCTATTTATCACGTCCTGATTTATATATACTGTATGGTGTCATGCACATATTTGCCGCGTTTCCATAAAGTTTAGACAAGGCCGATACAAAACGGGGTGACTGTAACATTATAAATATATATAAATATAATATATATATATTATATGCTGCAACCAGAAATTACATTGGCCTTATCGTGCGGATCCCTCCACGCGTGCGGGCTGAGACTCACGTCCTTTAGGCGCTGGATTCGCGTCACAGTCGATGCCCTATCGTCTTATGGAGAAGATAACGCCACGAGACGCGAGCATCGAAGAAGATTACGACGCGGCGTGGATCGGATTCCGTCCAGCATTGTCAATACGTCTCCGCGGCGAGAAGTAGATAGCAGAGGCCGCGATCGGGTACGAGCGCCGCGGGGGCCCGCCGCACCACAGTCCTGCAGCTCAACGATGCAGAAGCAAGGGTTTAGCGTGAGGAGAACAGGATACAGCATGATTCGGTATACGAGCGCCTGACCGGGTAACACGGCGCATGATCGGGTACAAGCGCGCGGGGACCGCCACCGCCCACATTCCTACAAGCAAACAAACAGCTATAATGACGTACAGTTGCCATGCTTGAACGTTTTTCCTCTGCATTGACACGATGCGAGCGCGCGCCGCCCTCCGCCTCAAATTCTCAGCCGCCACCACAGCAAATTGTCCAAACACGCGCACTCCGCTCGACGATAAATCACTGTTCTTACCAGCAAGTCTCA